CTACTCATCTTTTCACACATGTCCTCTGGTGGAAGAAAGGCTGGTGGCATTTTGCAACCGTCTCTGTAGTTTGCCATGCTACTTCTGTTGAGTTCTTTTACTATTTGTGTCTTGCAAAAAGTTAGGATAACTGGTCCTGTTTTTCTTTCCACACTTCCTAAAACAGTAAAACTTGGCACTGGAAATGTTTTTGTTCCCTGGTAGCTTTCCATTTCTCAAGGGCACACCCATGACTTGAAGTCACAATGTGTGGTCCAGCATGGCACTGGTGACCGTCAGCTTGCTACTTTAATTCTAGCAATTTTTATCTCTTCTCTTGGAACAAGGATGTTAATGGATCATGTAGGGAGTCCAGTCAACTAGCTGAACCAAAGTAAGATGCTCTTACCTTGTATGTTTGTATTATTTTAAAAATGTAGAAAGGAAAACCTACAAAACCCACACTATATAAAAAAGCCGCAGATACCTGACGTCAAAACAAAGTGGCTTTGCATGTACAATGACTATTCTGCCTTAAGTATGTACAGAAATGGCAGTGCAAATGATGACTTTGTACTTACTACTACTAGTAAACTACTTTAACAAGTGTGTTTGTGTGTTTTGAGGCTGATTTGTGGGGGGTTTTTGTTTGGGTTTTGTTGTTGGGTTTTTTTTTTTTGGTATGTGTTTTCTGTTTTGTTTGTTTGTTTGTTTTAATTTCCTATTATGAGGAAATGAAACTAAAGAATTGGCCTCAATGTATCTCCTGGGACTGCAGGGGCACCCCCATCTGAATGTACCTTTATCCTTACTAATTCTCTTTTAGACCAACCTTGACTTACCTCTCAATTACAAACTGTGAAGCAATGATTTGGGGATCTAGATGTTAGTAATGTTAGTAATTCTAGTGACCGCATCGACGTGTACTTTCCAAACTCGCAGAATTATTCAAGACAACTTAGAATGAAACAGTTTTTGTGCCTCCTATCTCCCCACAAAATCCCTGAGGTTTCTGGTAGTTTGGTGTCCCTGCTCTATGGTAAAGACAAGAGAATGCCTACTCAACATCAGATTGCTATGGCATTTTCCAGTAGGCAAAAATGTGCAGTTCTTCTGCACATAGATTCTGGAGAACAAACAAAATTATTAAAATATAGACGATTTCAGAGGTGTTAGGAGGAAAAATAAATTTATTAGAGTACAAACTATGTCTTATCCCTTGATTGTGGCTGCGTTTTGCCAGACCATCCAATTCAAGAGAGATTCACTTTGGGAGGTAGTTTTCAAAACTATTCATTAGAAGAGAGGTAAAAAAGAGATGATATAGCGTAAAGGGTACTTTTCAGGGTAAAGAAGGATGCACGCTCTTCTGAGGTGGTAATCAAAGAGGTTTATTTCAAATTTGGCGCTTCCCTTTATACCCTGATATCATGTAACTTTCTAACCAATAGGATTATCCATTTAGACGCATGCTTCTTTGGGCTTCTCTGCCCCGGCACGGCCCGTACCCCGTGCCTTGGACACGCCTCCTACAGCATGATTTACAAGCTGAATGTTTCAATGAGAATCTTAAAAGCTCTGTATTTTCTTCCCTCAGGAAGACTTGGTACTACTGGTGAAATGGCAGCAGGAGATGAAATTGAAATGCTTTGTGCTATCTCAGAAACTAAAGAACTGCTGTGCCTGAAACTCTTACAGTGACAAGAATTTCCAAAGCCTTTACACAGACTTCCTGAAAGGATACATCTTAAAAATCACAATATGTTAAAGCAATAATCAATACAGTCATCTCTGAGTACCTGGGCAATAGCGTGGATCAGTAAATCATAACAAAAACAGAGATGTGAATTCTGCTGTTTTGAGAAAAGACAAACTGCTCATTCCAAGAGGAGCATTCTTCCAACAAAGGGGGCCTGACTGCAGCTTCTTGGGAGTGGTCTGGATTTTGGCTCTAAGAAGTAGAAGCAGTTATGAACTTTCTCACCCCCTGTGTGACCTGTCTTCAGCTTCAAAACAAGTTTCACCTTTTGTAAGGGTAAAAAACAGGTGAAATATCTGTGGAGACAAATCAAGGTAACTAGAACAAGGTGACTAATTTTTTCCAATTATTATTATTATTATTATTTGTTGTTATTTATTTAGAAATCCAGTGTAGTCAGTAGAGAGAAACAGATAATTTTCAGGCACTCCAGGAACTCAGCTTAGTGCCTCTGAATTGCCACTAGCTGTAGAAGGAATCTCAGAAAATGACCTTAACTAGGAGTTTGGACTTGGTCATAAATTATACTGTGCTTGAAGAGAGATTACTATAATTAGTATCTTACTGCTTCCTGTGATATAGTTAAGCAGAACAGAACAAATTCACCAAGAAAAAATTGGCTTGGTAAAGTAAAATGCATCTACAAATGGCAGGATTTTTGTGTGTATGGGACCTCAGCTTGAAAAATAAGAGCTGTATCAACCAGGGCTGCTCATAAAGCATTGCATTCCTTTTAAATTGCTGGTCTATCTCTCTATCCCAGGAGAAACACAAAAAGTCATGCATAATTTCTAAATCGACATAGAATCAACGGACTTTGAAACTATAAGCAATTTAATAATTCCACTAGTTAGATAACAGAAATCTGGGAGAAGGGAATTTGAGTAGCACATACCTTCACTGTTACAACTTAATGTAAAAAAAAAAAAAAAAAGAAAGGCAAGTTTTATGGAAAATTACTTGGAAAAAAATTTATTTCTAGGTCCTTTAAAATCAGGGCACTTGACTACATGAGATTCTTAAGGGAGTTGACTTTATATGCTCTTGGTGCTTGTGTCTGAGAAAAAAACAAATAAAATACCTGGGCTTGTTTAGCAATAAATTGAAACTTGCTTGGTTTGGCAAGAAGTAGTGTGGCGGGAGTAGCTAAATATTCTTGTGGGAGAATGAAGAAAACGAGCAACAGAATCCTTCATCCCTTAAGTATTAATATCTATTTGAGCGGAGATTTTTTCATAGAGAAATAAGCATCCTAAAAATGCTCCTGCCCTCATTGGTACAGAGGATGCCACTGACCTCAATGGAACTGTATCATGCTTAATAATGTTATCTTTTATTCTCCTAGTTTATTTATTTATGCAGTTCAGACAAACCTATCAAAAATTAATTTTTTTTAAATTAAAAAATTAAATCTATATACTAAGTTCAATTTTTTTTTTAATATTGCTGAATCATTTTGATCAGTTTAATAAAAATCCTTGATTAGGAATTAAAATGTTAAAATAATAAATCTGTCTTGGGAAAGGGAGTTAAATTTCTGCTAATAAGCACCTGATGAAGGTTTTCTGAGTTTTTCAGAGTTAATTGTGTCTTAAAACCCCATATGCTCCACTACAAGGAGAATATGAAGTTAAACTTACCAGTTTGACTGAAATTTTATAAAAACAACATCAGTGGTGCACTGTGGATATGGCTATTCATTTAAAATGATAATTGAATTTGGGAGAAATATCAAGCCAATAAATGTATTATAAAGGCAGCACTCTGCAGAAAAGAAGAAAAAACAGATGATCTTTAAGGACCCTTCCAACCTAACCCATTCCGTAATTCTAAGATTTTTAAAGATCCATTTCAGGCCAAACCTTTATATGGTTCAGCATTTCTATTTTAAGGCCTAAATACAGTCCGTCTAATACTTAGCACTATTCATGTCCCCAAAACAGCCACAAGAGTAATGTGAAGTAAAGCACAAGAACTGAATGCCCCTATAAGACACATCTTGTCAGTCAGAACTTCTCTCCATGTTACTACTGAAGTCCTTCTTATGCTGTAACCAGAATATGGTGCACACACATTCAGCACAAGCATTAGATTTTGGTTCTAAAAAGATTTAACCCAAAGCCTTCTATCTGGAAATGCACTGAGAATCAGCAAGAGCAAATAAAAAGGTTAGTGCTGAAAACAAAGGAAATAAAAAAGCTTAAAGGCTTGCTGAGGCTCTTGTTTAAGAAACATTGGAACAATGTTTCAGTCTCTTTTATAACTCAAATGCAGAGACTGTACACTTCTAGCCCTTTGATCGACACAGCAGAATTGATTCTGAATAATAAGTAGTGGATGAGAAATAACTTTTTTTTAAAAAAAAATGCAGTATTTGAAAATGAAGTTGTCCATTATCTACCATCCTGCTGGTAGATTTTTCTTTATCAAACCAAAATAGTTGCTTGTCTTCTTTTATTTTAAAATATTTAAAAAAAATAAGATTTTTAAAACATCTTTTCTTGCTCTTTCTGAAAAAGTAATTTTCTTATCTCTTATTACAAGGCAATGTGGCTTCTAAAATTTGCCCACTTATATACTGAACAACAAAACAGATCCCTCTGCTGTTAAACTCTTGGGTCTCGGTTAATTTCAGTCTTCTGTGCCCCTGCCAGATATATGATTCTCATTCAGCACTGTTGTATTAGTTGCTTTTTGCAATAAGTCATTTTTATTCTACTCTCTTAGGATAGTGTATCTGCTTAATGTATAATTTCAGTAAATTCCCTCAACTGGGCAACATCAACCTTTGTATAAATAGGAAATGAAAAGTATTGTCTTAAAAAGTGCTTTTCCAAGATTTAATAGTGGCTGAAGCCAAAGCTTTTACTGTCTCCTTCAATAATATTGTCAATAACATAAATCTGTGCTGAAACAATTTCAGTTGTTTAAGACATAGAGATAAAATTATGACTCAGGATCAAGTTTCCACTAGTACTTGCCTGTCTGCCAGAACATGTACTCTCTGCACGCTGCCCTGTTTGTCATCAGACAGTGGAGAGAAACCAGAGCAGAAGTGTGGGTGGCTGGGCAGAGAGGGGGACTAGAGGCAGGCAGAGGGCATCGTCCTGTGATAAGCCCAGCTGCCCCTGCTGCCTACTCTGCCTTAGGCATCTGCTGCACCGTGAGTGTACGGCTGCAGCAGGAATTCCTATGGGAAGAAGCATCTCCAAAATGGCCCTGGGGCTGCAGGGGCCCATGACTGTGTACCTCAGCATGTGAGCGCACCCACGATGGAGCTAGAGAAGTGAAAAGGCAATAGAAGGGAAAGAAAGCAGCACCCAGAGACTGGGTGAGAGAAATAACAATTTATTTCCTTTTCCTTGAACAAAGGGTTGCAGGAGCCCTTCTAGTGCTGCCAGAAGGGTGGTCTCTTGCAGGGCTGGGGAGAGTCCTGGGGCTGGGTGCCCTTCTATCTGGGAGTCGTCCAGGCCCATCAGGACACTGGTGCCTGCCCAGGACAAGACTGGACTGGCTACGGCTGCTACCCTGGGCAGAGGAACCTGCCACTGTCATTGCCTGCCCCAGCTCCTCCTGGGGCTGGTCCTGCTCTGCAGGGACAGGCACAGGAGGGGGGTGCCTGGGACCCCTGTGTAGAGTAGCCTTTGATTTATCAGCTTCTGTTTCCACATTGGGGCCTGCAGGGCCACTGGCAGGAGACCCCTCCCAGGAGCTGTTGGAGCTGAAGCTGCTGGAGCTGGAGCTGGCTCTGCCCACAGGGCTGTTGTTCTCATCTCTGACTGCACCAGATTGCAGCAGCCTCTGGGCCTCCTCGCTGCACTGGCCCACAATTATGTTGATGGCACCATGGACCAGCAGTGCTGTGTGTTGCTCGAGGAGAGGCTCCAGCCCCTCAATCAAGGCCTGTACATTCAGCCCCTTGACACAGAGATCGTGCAGGATGGTGCTCTCTGCGGCCTCAACCAGCCACCACCAGCTCCGGTATATTCCCTCCAGCCTCTGGCGCAGCCAGGGCCGCACAGGGTCCAGGAGCTGCTGTCGTCCACGGAAAAGTCCTGCCCAGACCTCAGGAAGAAGACCACCTCCAAACTCCAGCCCTGAGGCCCTCTTCTCAGGTGGGGATAGTGCACCCTGTGGAGAAGATGGATGGGATGCCACTGGGAAATGGGGGCTGTTCTCATCCAGGACATCAGGAACTGTCCCTGTCAGGCTGCTGCCATCTGGCAGCTCCTCAGGGGCTGTGATGGCTGTCTCCAGATAGTCGTCTTCACTGTCAGAAAACCTGATAGTCTCTATTGTTCTTCTGCAGAGTGGGCATGATGGATTTCTCTGAGCCCACCGCAGGATACAGCCCAGGCAGAACCGGTGGCGACAGGGCAGAGCAGAAGCCACGTCCTTCTGAGTGTCCTGGCAGATGGAGCAGTTCCTCTCTATCTCCATGGCCATTTTTGTGCTCTGCAGCACACTGGTGAGAGCTTAGGATCAGGAGCTGCTTTCCCTCACTGGTGTCACGCATTGAAGGAGGGAGAGGCCATGGTGACTAGTGTCCTGGGAAGGGGAGGAAGAAATGCCCAGGGCCCTTGAGAACAACACCTTCTCAGGTCCCTGCTCCCCTTCACCCACACCACGGTCACCCTTGTTGTCCCACACAGCCAACCTTCACTGCTGCCAGCACCTGCAGTGCCTGGCTGCCTGAACCAGGCAGGGCCAGGGAAACAGGTGTGATTGCTCTGGGTCTGGCACTGAGATCTGCCAATGACAGGCACCAGCCACCACCAAAGAAGCCTAGCTCAATCCTCTTGGCCTCACAGTCTTGCTCAGATGGAGTTCAGGTTTGAGCCAGGCTAGTAAGGTTCTGCCCAAGTCCAAATATAAGCAGTGGAGGACAAGGTGTCCTTGTACATCCCTCCATGATGTCACAATCTGCCACTCAGTGATGTCACACTCAGCCAGCAGGTGATGTCACAATATGTTATTTGCCCTGACTAGCACACAGTATCAGGAGAAAAAAAGGAAATAATGTTTCTTGTTTTCAACGCCTTTATTTCTGTGTTGCTCTTTCTCAGCCACAGATGGCAATGTGTCTTATCCCGTGTCATGGTCTCCTGTGAGGGGCAGAGTGGTGGGAATAGTCAGCATGGACTGTCTGCAGCTGGATGACACCTTCTCCTCTCACTGCCTTTCCTTGGGCTATGCCAGGATTTGGAGGACTTGGGTGATCAGTGGCCAACCCTGGGTGTGAGTCTCCCACTCCTGTGGGTCATGTCCCTGCCTCAGGGAGAAGCAGAAAGGGGCATTTTGCTCCAGTCTCATCCAGTGCCACTGGCACTCACTCACAGTGCCATGTCCCTCTCCGCTTGCCAAGTCTCCATGCTTCTGGAAGACAGTGCATTGGTGCTCCTCAAAAGCACGAGTGATGGAGTCTGGCCCTGCATTTGCAGGAAGGAGCTGGAGCTGCTGTCCCTCCAGAGTAGGGTAGAAGGGCTGGTGGCACCCTGCTCACAATTCTGGAGAGTCCAGGATCCATCACTATTATGACGTATCACAGTCTGAATTGTCTATATAAGCTTTTGTTGTTCTTAATAAGTTGATTCTGTTGCATGCCTTACATGTGACGGGGTCCGTGCCCACAAATGCTACAAGCCCTGGAACAGGCTCTTTCAATAGGCATTGGTAAACCAGAAGCACTAGGCTTTGGGATGTCTGCAGTAGCATCCTCCTGGTAGAAATCAAAGGAAAAAGGAAGAGCTCTTCAAAACACATCATGTGTACCAGTCACCTCTGGAAGGATAGGGACAAAAAGGAAAAAGGACTGAAAAGGAAAGAGAAGCATTCAGCAAAAGAGGTGAGCTACTAGGATAGCAGGGAGGTTTTCCCAGAAAGGGAGGTTTTTCAAAAAAATAAAAGAAAATGCTGAAGACATTTGCCAATTTTTAAAAACACAGAAAAATGATATAATGGAAACTAAACTGCTGGGGTTCTTAATATATATTGCCATAGTTATACCAGGATTCCTACTGGTCAGGACTCTTAATGTGACTGCTTGGCAAAAAGTTGGGAAGATAATGAGAGAAAGAGCAACTTTGGGAGATATGGAAGCCTTCAGGAATTTAACTGCATGGACAGAACTTATGGACGCTTTAAAGTCTGCACAAAAGAATTCAAACTCCTCTACGGAAACCGATTCTAACCCTCCTGCCTCCCCACCCCCCAAACCCCTTAGACACCGGGCAACGACATGGAGGTGGAGGGGGACCACTGGGAACATGGGAGGAAAAAACATGGGAAGGAGAAGGTATATTGTTGGGGTCGGCACTGTCTTCCTGCAGTCAGGAGCGGGAGGGAGATGTTATAACCGGTAGTTCTGAGTTTTTGCGAGCGCGCAGGCTCCAGGGAGCGAGTGCATGATTTAAACCCGGAATTGTTACGGGGGAGCGGTTATTGGATTCCTGCTGCAAGATGGAGGAATGCATGCAAGATGGCTTTTGCCGTGGGGCTGCTGTGGAGTGCAGCCATGTGCCGACCGCGTGGTTGCATGGATGTGGTCATTTTGCCCGTGCTGGGGGCAGGAAGCAGAGGTTTCTCCTCTGCCCCAGCAGCCATTTTCTCCTGGCCGCGTGGCAGGGGAGGGCTCATCTCTTCTGGTCCCGCGGTGCCGCCTGCACCGCACTAAAGAACAGCAGGCGTGGTGGGGTGAGAGGCAGCCGGAGGGCGTATGGTGAGAACCGAGCCCCCAGCACCGCGGACTCACCCCTACTGGGTGTGCTGCCCCGTGCCATGCTGGGTTGGAAGTCCTGGTGGCGTGGCAGACCCCCCGCTCAACCCTGGCGCGGCGCAGCTGCCTCGGGGCCGCCACGGCGGTGGCGGCTCCAGCTGCGCGGGAGCCGGGGGAGCTAAGGGCACCCCGGGGTGCGAAACCAGGGTCTCCGGGTGCGGCTCTGCGCGGCCCCCGTGTGACCGAGGGGCTGCTCCAGCCTGGCTCTGTGGGCTGGCCTGGCCCCACCCTCACGCCCCCGCAGCGCGTTTGCACCCCCGGCGCTCACAACAGGACACGGAGACACAGCCTGATACAGCCCTGGCCCGAAGCCATCAACAACAGCAACAGCAACAATTACAACGCCTGACCCCCCGCCATCAAGATCAAAGAACTGATACAGCATTTCAAGCAACCTCACTCACAGCCTGCAGAACAATCCAATCAGCCACTGCTCTTAAAGAAACAGCATCTGCCAGCAGCCTGCTGCAAAGAGTGAACTGTAACCTACAGGACATCAAACCAAGGCACACACCCTTCCTACCAGCATAACTGGTGCTGAACCACCTGTGCAGAACTCAGCTGTGAAAGATCCCACAGCCCTGCAGAACCTCAGCACCATCATCCACATCATCCACCGACTGCAGACCAATAGGGAGCTGGCCAGGCTGGCCAACAGCCTGACAGGGCTGGCAAAAATCTCCAACCAGGCAGCAAGCCTGAAAGCATCCAAAAGCACCAGTGTAACCCTGCAGGACAGCCTAACACCTGCAAAGGCAACATCTTTGTTCAATACAACCTCCTTCAATGGACCTTTCTGTAACACATTTTTATTACCACAATCTCATAAGTTACTATAGTAGTATGACAGAACCTCAGCATCCCTTTTACAAGCCCCATATCTTGACAAGCTGTTGTCAAGAGACCACACAACACATTAAGAAAAATATTACAAACAAACAAAAAATAAACAAACAAACAAACAAAAGCGGGGGGGGGAGGGAGAGCATATGGCTATCTTCTATGTGTGTAAACCTACCTTAACTCTTCTTCAAAATAGGAACAATCACCAGAAACAACAACTGATGAAGCGGAACCAGAAGAAACACACAGTCAATAACTACTGCCAATTCATACTTATGATTAAAAAGCAGAACAAAATAAATATGCAGAACATGTGAGAATGAAGTGTGTGAATGGAAAAGTGCGTGTGTGTGTGTGCATGTGAAAATTCAACTACACTTGACATCAACAACATCTCAATTAAAGACACAATTATACAACAATATCACCTTGACCACATCAGTTATCCTCAAATAGCAGTAAGTACAATATCCATACCCTAACACATTTCTATGAGAAATAAATAATCTGGTTTTATTATAAGCAAATTGAATTTAGTGGAAAAACAGAGGGTGGTGGGAATTTTTTTTCTCTTCTTTTGTTTAATTCCAAGAGTTTTAGGCACTTCATGGAGACTGTAAGGTGAAAGGCCCTGTCTGGGCCCAACGCCAGGAAAACGTTGTGATCGGGACAGGGAAAAAATATATAAAAATGGAAAATATACCCTGGCCACATGGCTGACCTTTATGTGCAGACAGACTCCCCCCTGTACATGTACAGGGGGGTACATCATCAATTAATCAGGAGGGAGGGTGACACCCCCTCCCGAATTCGAAAAATTACCTTTTAAGGTAAAATACCTGTTACCTGTTGAATATTTAACATCTTAAGTGACCAAGAGGGTACAAAAATGTGGGAGGCGTGTCCAAGGCACAGGGTATGTGCCGGGGCAGAGGAGCCCAGGAGAGCATGCGCCGACATAGGTAACCTCATTGGTCAAAGAACTACCATGATGTTAAAGGATAAAACAGCGCTGATTTTAAAATAAACGCTCTTTGTTCACCATCACACGAGGAGGTGTTTTTCCTTATTATATAAGGCATACGCCAACCCTACATAAAAAGAGTGTGTTTTTCAAACCGCGTGTGCTTTTCCAGACCATGTGACTTGGGATTGCACCCAGTGCTGCGATAAAGGATTTCTTGCTGCAGTTTTCCTTGTCCTGCAAGTATTTTTTGCCATTTCATAAATTGAAAGCAAGGATTTTTCTTACATTTCCCCTTAAAATAAGCTGATGTTTCTCACCCAATTACACAAATACTCTCAGATAAAAAAATCTTATATAAACCATATTTATAAACTCTGAATAATTGAAAGTTGCACAGTTAATAAAGTTATGACCAGTTTTAATAAAGGCCTTACCACTTTAGGCCCTGTTTTATACAAATGGTTAAGATAAGTTTGTTTCTGTTAAGAAAAGTTTAAGAAAAAGCATGCTCAATGGAGTGTTCAAATGTCACTGGTTGAGAAGGTCACATGTTATGATGTATCACAGTTTGAATTGTCTATATAAGCTTTTGTTGTTCTTAATAAAGTTGATTCGATTGCATGCCTTACATATGACGGGGTCTGTGCCCACAAATGCTACATATCACTACCTGGGCTGGACTGTCCCACCATCTCTTCTTGCCTCTGGCTACTGTCATCATGCAGAAGCATTAGCCCAAGCATTTCTCTCTCCATTTGGAAGAGCATCGGCTGTTGCTTTGAGGGCTGATTGGTGCGAGCCGAGGGTGCTGTGTGCCTCCACACAGCTCCGCTGCAGGGTGCAGAGATCTCCCCTCAAACCTGTGCAAATGGAGGGTGTCCACTACCACACTTTGGTGTTTAGCAATCTCTACACGGAAAAAGATGGAATTTCGTTAATGAGGACTCTTGGTGTTGTTATTGGGAGGGGTATTTCTCTTTTTTTTAACAAGGGCCTGTTAAAGTATGCCATTGTAATTTTTTCTTCATTTGGATTTGAACTTTGGTTACCTTTTAAGAGTTGTAAAGGTCCAAAGGTGCAAGCAGCACCTGGAATTTCAGAGTAACTACATATTCCCTGTTTCCTATGAAAGCTAAGGCCACAGATACTTCAGGAGACGCATCTCATGCTTTTAAAGGACTCTGCCTCAATGTGCTGTGATACTCTATGGAGTTCTTTGCACACATGTACCCCAGAACTTACCCTCATTATATCACTGCCTCAATTGCATTTAATTTCTTTTTCCCCCCTATCTCATGTGCCCTGAAATCATAACATGACAGAA